TTGAAGCTTGTCAAGTTACACTTCATCTAATCTCTCCAAGCAAATTATGAGAAGATTGTTCTGGATTCAAACCTGGGGTCATAGTTATTCAAGAAGTTATACAACTTGAATTTATTGTGCTCTATTGGTTTGTCTTACAATCCTCAAAGAAAAGAAATGGAATTAAATGATGAAAAAACATCTAACAAATTATCTTTCGTGAAGCCTATTAAAGGATGCTTCCTATGGAATGTCTGATGTTGAAGAATTAACCTTCTTAATCAGAAGACTTCTTTAACTGGCTGAGTGAAATGTGACATCTATGATAAAAGAGTAACTTCAAAAGCTTATGAAATATTAGTATTTCAATTGACTTTCCAAATTTGAAAGCAACGAGAAACACTACCAGAACCTAATGTCAAAGATCTTCGCTGCATATTCATTTGAAGCTGACATTAGTGCGGGATTCAGATAAAAGAGCAATCTGGCTCTACTAGTCATTACTGCTTTAGAAGAAGCATCTGAGTCCTGAAATAAAAATCAAGTATTGAAGAGACAAAGATTATGCCAAATCTATCTTGCTTCAATATTTGATAATAAGGAGTCTGTTCTTTAAGGTGATATCTTAAAAGACTCTATTGCTCCTTGATTGAGGGTCATCATGGAATTTGTATTAAAGGACAAGTATATGAGAAACCTTCAATTCTTATTCGTGTTCTGCAAGCAATTACATGATGGTGATTTAATTTGTTTTATGCCATTCTTTGATAGCTAACATCATTTGGTTCTTTGCTTATCAAAGATTTCAAAGTCTTAATCCAAGATAAGAAAATCAATTATTCTGCTAAGAATAAGATCTTGTTCATATCATGATTTATCCTAGACTGATACTCTAAAATGAATCATGGTACTACTATCAGAATGTGGCATAAGGCGAAGGAAATCCTATCTGGACATTCATGTAAGGTCTCATAGGAATATGAGTATCATCATTCAAATGTATTTGCTGCAAATATCGAAGAAAGGAGTGGAGGCGTCTTCCATGGTACTTATCAAAGGTTGTTTACAACATTTGGTGGAAGAAGAGCATACATCCCAGACTCAAGTACTAGAGGTACTGAGTTTAGTGAGAGAAATGGAGTCAATGGTTTAACAGCCATTGAATCAGAATCCACTCAAAATGATGTTTAGACTTTATAGTCAAGTCTGAATACTGATACGAGTCTGACCGAGAAAACAACAAAAAAAGGGTTATGTTCTTTTCTAGCTTATCTCTTGATTTAATGAGATATTTGTGTATATGTAAATACAAAGTCTTCGTTATATTTCTAGAGAAGTTCTTTTCATGAAAGAATCTTCAGAAGTCTTTAAGAAGAAACTATGTTGTATGTATCTATACTGAATATTTCATTAGCTAGATGACTATCATATTTATGGAAACAATTTCCCCATTTTTTGTGATGGTATTGCAACTAGTTAGCTGTCAAAGGAAACAATTCAATATTCTTTAATCACTCATGACTCTTGCTTTAAGAGGAAATGTTAGTTTTTGAATAGAATCTTGGAGACTGATGACTGACGAAATATATCTCTCTCTAAGTCTAGATCTACTAGACTTTGATGGATGATAGCTTCTGAAAATTGTCAGACTCTAAGATTCAGAAGAAGATTCTTTACTTCTGATAAAGCAGTTTAAGTAAAATATTTTCCAAAAAAATTTATATTACTTAAATTTCATAAGGTTGAAAATCATCTAGTGGATTCAGGAGATCTGTTGGATAAGAACCTTTGGGTAATTATGCTTTCTTTTTATATATTTGTTGTCAGTATCCCCTATCTTGCGAAACATCATTTTGTTTTCTTTTTATAACTATATTCTTATTCATTTAGAATCTTGTTCAATTTTTTTGTGTTGATCAGACCAAACTTGAGATGAGCTATCTAGTCAATTCTTCTTTGAACCAACTGGTTGTCATCAATGAAAAGTTTGTCGATTTTGATGAGTTGCTTAAGTTAGGTTTTAACTTCTATAAGACTGTGTCTGAAAAAAGTTGGAATGAATACTTTGAGATGCTCTGTGGTTTCACTTATTCAGATATTGTCAAAGAATTTTGGATTAATGTCTCCATTATTGAGCTGAATTATAATTGTGCTATCCTTTCTAAGGTGACTGGTATTTCTATAACAGTAACCTCTAAAGCGATTGCTAACGTGATGAATTGTGAGGAAATTAGAGAAATCTCAAGAATTATTGTTTGGGAACATTATCTTAACTTTCCAACACATATTAGAACGCACCAATGACATCCCGTAGGTTAAGTTATGACCTGCACAACGAGAAGGTGTCAAATTACTGCTTATTAAGAAAATAAATAACATAATTAAAATAAAAGCAGAAATAAGCTAAAATTTGAAGACCATCAATTTTATTTTTCAAAATGTCATATTGATCACACTTGATAGATTCGTCTAACGTCTTATGAAATGAAGGAACGTTTTGTATTAGACCGTATTGTTTCTCTCTAAGACTTTCTATTTCTTCCAACAAGTTTTTATTTTTTAATTCAAGGAAAGAGATAGTGTCTTTGAAGGTAGATATAATCTATTTTAATTTATTCATTTCTTTTGTTAGCTTCTTATAAAGGCGAAATAAGTCTTGTTAGCTTCTTTTGTTCTAATTTAATTTTGTGGCCCATAATCTTACTAGGAAATTAGAGCGACGATACAATCTGCACGCACGTTCTTGTCGTGACGGTTTGGTGAAAGTAGTCATGATGACTATGACATGTGCATGCTATCTTGAAAAATGTTAAGAACTTACTAAAAATTCCATCTTTCGTCCATATGATACATATGATTGAAAGTTGCATTTTTGGGGGGCATCTATTAGTTTGGAAATTTTAGCTGATGAAGTCAACAAAGAATGTTAATAACCATGTTGGAAAATACTAATTATAAAAGACTCAATGAAAGGCTTCAACGTACTAACTATGTTGACTAAGATGGTATGACCAACCTATCATATGAGTCAGGACATAAGGTTTTCTAATGCCCACGAGGACTAGTTTGGAGGAGTCTTAGGAACAGATCCACGAGATTATGATCACTCTCTCTTCAAAATATGTCCAGAATCTCTAAAGAGGTTACATAAACCCGCTTTTCAACAAGTGTCAATAACACATCCACCAGATGTTGGAACCTAAGATATTCCTAAGTCCAAAGATTGGGTGATGTGAAGATAGGGGTGACAAACATGCATGTCCGCCCTGTTTAGGTCCGCCCCACAAAAATCCACAAAAAAATAAGGTAAGATGAAACAGGCATATTTGAAGGTGCGGGTCTAAAACCTAGGTCTGCCCCACAAAAAAGTGAGGGTGGGGCGGGGCGGGTTAGCGAACACTCAATCTTTTTAGTCTAAAAATGCATAAAATAATCATTACGCTAAAATAAGTTTTTAATAGCGCTTTTTAATCTTTAATATCACTTTTAAGCGTTATTAAAGTTGCCGCTATTATAGGTTGGATAGATATAATAACACTTTTTAAGCGCTATTAATGTATAATCTTTAATAGCACTTCTGAAAAAAAATGCTATCATAGTCTTATTCAAAAAAAATGTAAACACGAATTAATATCGCTTCTTCAAAAAATATGGTACTCTGTACCTCCTTATATGGCACATCAAGTGGTTTTTCAGGGTGTCACATCTTTATATGATACATGCTGCTACAGGAGATACAACGAGACCAACTCATCAGGAGATACTAGAGGAAGAGCTAGGCTAGGTTAGATCATGCTCGTGATGCGTTGCCTATATGTCGTTGTATTGTGGATATTTCATATTCAAGTGTTGACAAAGGTATCTTTCTTGATGGTTCAAAAGTGAGAGAGGTCCTAGATGCCATTATGACGAAGGTATGGAAGACACTTATGTATTAGAGACAACATCATAACACAAGGGCAGAGAAGGCAAAGGAGTTTGAGGAGTAGGGATGACAAACAAACCGGGAGCCTCCTGCATCTGCCCCAAAATTAACGGGAAAAACCTGATTTAATTGGGTGCGGGTGCGGAAGAAACTCGGCTCTTAAATACGGATGCGGGTGCAGGAAGAAATTAATTTTTACGGGTGGGGACAGGGCGGGTGCGAATGCACCCATTCTCCACTAGGGGCGGGTCTGAGCGGTAAATTTTTACCTCTAGTTAGGTTTGGAGGTGGGGGCGGTGTGTAACATGGATGCGGGTGCGAGTATAGTTAAACCCACTTCCGTCCCGCCCCGTTGCCATCTGTACCGAGGAGTTCGAGTATGACATACATAGTAGTTGATAGTATTTGTAGTTTGAATTTATGTTTAATTGCATTTTATTTTTACTTATTTCAACTTCATTGTATATTTTGTCTTTATTTGTATGTCATGACGAATTATTTTGACTCCGAATTTATATATGTCATTTTTTGCATATCAGTTGTATGGTTTAATGCTCATCACATAACACAAGCCTTAACATTTATAAATCGTCATTTTCATCTGAGTAACCACAAAATTAACTTAACTTGCACTTTTTTGAATGGTTACAGAGATGCATCTCTATAAATCCTAAATGGAGATGCATCTCTGGATAAACAAATTTTTAAAATGGATCTTTTGAAGAGTGACGCATATTCAAATTCGTGTTTACAAAATATGTTAGCGTGACTTAGTGGAATGCATAAGGTGTGTTTTTGAAATATTTCGAAAATGCATCTCAGAATAAGTTGTACCATTTTGACTTAAGACAATTGTACGTTCGAAGATGCATTTTTAAATTCTTCATATGGTGTTTTTCTCCTTATAAGACGGAATTAAAAAAAACAAAAAAAAAAATAGTTCAATTGGTTTTGGGCTTAAAATTGAATTTATTTGGGTTCTGAAAAAAAATAAAAAATAAAAACTCATTTTAAAGAGAATCGTTGGCGCTCACAAAAATTCAAATCAGGACCACCGTGTCACCGCGACGGCAACCGCCGCCGACTCGATACCGAAATGGCGAATGTTGATGAACTCTTATCTTCCATATTCTCAGATATAAGCACCTACACCGGCAAAGACCCTCTTCTTCCCTGGCTTCGGTAATCCACACCCCTTTCTCTTACACACACACACACACTTTCTCTCTGTAGTTCACGTTTTTCAGTACTCACTCATTTCGAACACTACAGAGGAATAAAAAAGTTGAAGGATAATCTTCCCTCAAAAACCCTCAAGGAAAAACTCCCAGAATTCTTGCAGAAATGCGCACAAACATTCGAGCTTGATCGACGTTACAAAAACGACTTACGCTATATACGTGTTTGGCTCCAATTGGTAACCGAATCAATCACCTCTTTTACAGAAATATGATTTACGAAAACTAGTTTTGGGGAATGATTATTAGTTTGATTTTTTGGTGTTATCAAGTTAGATTTGGAATTTCTGCGATTAGGTTTAAACAAAGGGATGATGAAATTTTGAATGATTTTTCACTTGGAATTTGTAGATGGATTTTGTTGATGACCCGAGCGCGTTACTGAGAACCATGGGTGTTAATTATATTGGAATAAAACGTTGTCAATTCTATCAAGCATATGCTCTTTACTATGAGAAGAATAAGAAGTATGATGAAGCAGAAAAAATGTACCATTTGGGAGCTAAGAAGTAAGTTTCTGCTCTATTTATGTGCCCAGTTCGATTTTATTATAGTGTTTTGATGCTGTTTTGATGCTTGTTTCTGGAAATAGGGTTAGAAATCATTCGATCATGCTTCAAATCAAACTTGGTACATGCAATGTTTTCAAGTTAGAAGTTTGACATAGCTAATGACTATTTAGTTCTTTGATTGTTTTAGGATGCTTTTTTGTTCAAAATCTACACAAATCATGTTTACCTTGCTTGCCCCTATTGTTGAATCAATTGTGTTATGCTGAACAACAAAAATATATAGTCACCACTAGTGGAGTCATGATCGAGTGCTGGATCATAACATCTTAAGATCTTACATGCCAAGGATGCTTGAGAGTGCTACGATCAAAGAAAGACCGTTTTCGTTGCCGGCGTGGTTAAGATCAAGCTTTCTGAAGCAAGATCGTAATAGAAAACATGCTGGGCCTTTTTTTGGGCTGAATTATAACTTTCATGTTTTTGTGTATGTATGTGTATAAATATATATGAAATTACCATTTTTCCTTTTGGTAGGATCTTATTTACTGTGCTAATGATTCGAGTTTTACAATCTTTCACAAGCCGACGGGTCCTACCTAAGATCTCTTGCTTGACTACACTGGTCACCACTCACCACTTACATGAAGTTGATGGTTAATCAGTTTCATCATTTAGTTGTAAATGTGAAAATTATGATTAACCATGTCCAAATTCATGGTTAATTTAGTTACATTGCTGATTATGAGTTTCAACATCTGTTATATCCATTAACCATTTACTTGAATGTAATTTACAACCGATTTGAATTGCATTAACCACTTACGAAATTGTCAAGAAAGTTGTCTAAATTTGGTCGTACAAAAACCATTTCTCTTGTTGAATATAGCCTTGCAGAGCCCGTGGATGAAATGCAGAAATCTTATGAACAATTTCTTCAACGCATGAAGCATAAGAAGAAAATTAAGGTAGTGACTAGCTTTTTCCTTTATGTGTCCATCCATGCTGTTTTTGGCATCTATTTTGTTATTCTTGGTACTCGGTGCATTCGGTGTAGCTAATTTGATTTTTTTTGTCATGCTACATCAGGAAATGAAACGTTCTGATAGACATGTAAAGGCTAAAAATGATGAGAACAAGAGATTTCGTGGTGATCATACAGTTGTTGTCAACAAGTTTGTTGACACTGCCATGGATGGAAAGTCTGAGGCAGAAAATGCATGTCATAATGGACTAGTTGATCCTACGATAAACATGAAGGAGGCAATGAATGCCATTAACAGCATGTTCAGTGAGCCACTGGAGACTGTTCCTTTGGCAAGGAAATCACATAAAAACGTATCGAAAGAAAACCGCAGTACAAAGAACAACTTTGAAGTTTTTGTTGACGAAAACTTAGACAATGGAATCAAACCAACTGGTTCCTTATTGGATCAACAAAGGACTGAAGCTGGCAAGCCTCATCAAGAATCATTCCAGATATATATTGATGATGAAGGGCATTCTGAAGGTTCTACTTCATCAGCTTCAAAAGTAAATGGCTCTGTTTTCCCCCAGCCTAAGGACGTTCCTTCTGAAAAATCTAGTGATATGGATGCACAAAGATCTCGGAATTCAAAGTTTAGAGAGGATACAGTTACAGTTGTTCGCAGATTTGTTGGTTCTGCCATTTTGGATGAACCAAAGGTGGAAAATGTTTGTCACAATGGTTTAGTAGACCCCACAGTCAACATGAAGGAAGCAATGAATGACATAAATAACATGTTTGGGGAACCAATTGATTTTGTCAGGAGAAAAAGATCAATGAAGGAGGAGAAGGCACCGGTGAACAACAGCGGAAAGGAACTCTGCGGGTTTTCAATCCTTGCTGATGATGACGACGACCTTGAGCAGAAACCACATCCTCCACTACCAAAATCGCCACGGAAGTCAAAGGAATCTGGTCTGTTTGAGCCAACTCTCCACACAAAGGAAGCCATGGATGACATTAACAAGATGTTTAATATGCCTTTGAATATGTAGGAACAAAGTGTTTTTGTGGATGCATATCTTCATGTTTCTTTCTTTGAGACTATTGTGAGGGTTGAACTATTTCACTCCTCTTTGGGTGGATTTTGTTTCGGAAAAAGCTTATTGTTACAAGAGAAGTTTGGCAAGAAACACAAGAATGATACGTCGCCGCCAACTCTCCCATGTATGGTCAGCCATGATCTAATTGGTCAAATATCAATTTGTATGCATTCTTATCATTTGTTACAAATAGCAGTGTTATTTAGTTTTCACAAGATTTGATTCAGAGTCTTCACTTGAGAATATCTTGTATACACTTGCACACTGCGTACCTAAGTTACTTCAATTGAGCCAACCCACAAGGGTAGGAACAAAGTGTTTTGCTGAGTGTCAATTTTATTTGTATTTTGTAAGCAGAATTGTCTTGATTTTGTGTGGCATAATCAAGTGAAAGGTTTCATTTCATTACTTATGACTTTTACAAACTTCGTATGCTTATGGAACTCAAGCTAGAACAGGCAAAAACTCCTTAGAAACATAACAAAAGATACAATTTAAGATTGAAAACTTAATGCAGATGCAAATCATAGAAAAAACATAATAATAGTCAAAGAATCTCAATGGTTGGTGAAGGGCAGTTCATAAATGTCTGAGAAATTAGTAGTGAGTCTTTGAGCAATCTGGAGGATGGAAAGCCAAGGGACCAGCAGCATATATAACAGCCTCATACTTGCTTCCGTGCAACCTCTTGTTCTCATATCGAAGTGGAGATCCATTCAAACCATAATTAACATTCGACAAAAGAACGCAACTGTCAAGAGGAGACCAAAGAGGCTTCACAAAGCAAGAGTGAAGTGGATGATCTAATATATGATGCTGCATCTTGAACCCTTCTAGTGGTGCATAGAGGTAACCATTTTTGTCGGTTTCAAACACTTTGTAGAAGCTAACATGTCCTTTAAAGCTTTTGCAGGTGATACTTACTTTGGCTGAAGGAATTGGCTTGGCTCCAATTAGAGACCAAGTTCCTGAATGCTCACAGGTTTGACAGTAGACTGTAGTTTCCACAACTACATCTATTTTCTTCTCTGCTGTGTATGGAATATTTTCACTAGCTTGCGTGTAAGTGAAGGCTACAAGGAGAAGTAAGAGGGAAATGATGCTGTTGAAGTTTCTGCCAGCCATTTTATCAAAGGTTTAAGTATGGAGAAAGAGGTAGAGACAATGGTTACTGATTGAAGAAAAACGTTTGATAAGTTGATATATATAGTAAATAATAGCTCATTGGTATATTGGGGATCAACGTGCATTCCATTATGTTGACAATGTATCTCATATACTTTATATAATATTTAATCTATATACGTGAAGGCCACCTTTCGCTATGTACATGTATATTTTCTTGCTATATCAAAATGCATATGATGTATGGCTCAATGCAAGCAAACTCGAATTTACTGCAATGGAAAAGGTTTAAATGTTTTTTCAAAATGAATATTCATCCAAACCTCATTAAACAGTGAAAAGAAAAAAAATATTAGTAAAACATATGAAGAGTTAGTTTCAAATTTTTTCATCACAATATTTTTTATTTATTATGATTTAAATATTGTGACCCCATGGTAAAGTAAGTGGTGGTTGGAGTCTCATTCTCCTACTTATATTTATGGTCGTTCTTATTTGTGTGTTATAATTCTAAGACGAACACCTCTTACTCAAGAACCTGAAATGTGACGGAAGACAATTCAGTAATGTGTGTGGATTAATAAATGTTAGAGGTTGTATTTGTCTTTGTTGATAAGAATGGATTGGATCATGATTTCATTAAGGTGGGTCCTTCTTTGGACTAGGAGGTGCTTTCCTCGGAAAGAAACAAAAGGGTATGTAGCAAGTATAAGCGGTGCGTCACCCCTCTTCATGAATGCTTGTTTTATTTGATAGGTTTCTGTCTTCCTTTCAATGACTTTGAGGTGGTCAATTTGAATCATCTAGTGATTTTCTTTCGCAACTGCATCCGCTGACTCAGGCTTATGTTAAAGTCTTCAGGTATTGGTGTGAGTACAGGAAAATTGTGCAGACCTTGACAATATTTTCCCACCTTTTAAATATCCAATACCGTTTGGATGACTCAACACAGGATAAAGAGTTGCTCTCCCTTAGGTAGGGCCATAAGATGTTCGAGGTCTACTATGTGATAAGTGTTAAAATGTACTGATTTTTAGTGTAAATAATTGGCACTTATTGGCTTGATTCAACCAATAAACCTCAACTTTTGTGCATATGTTGTATAGTTTAAATTATAGTGTATATATTGAGTGTCGCGTAAATTTCATTGAGTTTAATTGATTTTTTCTCATTTTTTGTAGGTATATAAGCAATGATATTTTGTCATTATCTTATACAGCATTGAATAAGCTTTCCAACGCTTCCGACCGCGCGTAAAACGGAGTTACGGTTCAGAAGTTATGGTCGAAACAAGTGCTGGTTTGCTGTCATGTTCGCCAGACGAACAAAAAGTTCTAAAACGCATGAAAAACACTGTTTTGGCAGTAGCAAAAGTTGCATATGTTCGCCAGGCGAACAGGACTTCGCCAGACGAATACTGGGACCCATTTTTGTCTATTTAAGTGATTTTTCAATATTTTTTAGGTTATGTTGTTTGGGAACTTTTTACCCCAACTTCATCAAACACATTCTTGAGTAGATTTAGCTTAGAAACAACATTGGAGGGTGCATCTTGACGATCCGGAGTCGAATCCACTTCAATCGGAGTTGACAGACCGTGAGATTTGTGTTCTTCTTCCTTCCTCTCAATGTATTTTTCATTTGTTGGGGTTTTGTATGTAAGTTTATCTTGATTGTATGTATATTTATGGATCTTTGTATAAAATCTCTTTTACAACTCTTTATTGATGGTTATCTTGATTTTTTACCAAATGGGTTTGGATTGCTATAGACATATACTGTTCGAACTCGATCTAAGATGAACATCTATTAGATTCTAAATGCTAGAGATAGATTTAGGACTAATATTCACGTGGGTATCGATTCTTAATGCTCCGTGTTGTCGAGTTGTGTGAGAGATCAACAATGAGACGATACGGTTGATCTCTCGACTTTGTGTTAGAGATAAACTCTGTTGTGAGTGATACGTGATGATATTGACGAGCGAATTAGGTTGCGTGCATTTGATCCATATATTTTTTAGTACATGATGGGTAGAACGAAATACAACTCCTGACGAGTTTTCTCATTTCTTAAGAATGTACATATTTTCTCGTTTTATGTTTTTCCTTTTGAATTTTTATCCCAAACCATTCAAACCCAAGCGTAGAGACGTAGAGATTGTCGAACATCATTCTTTCCCTCACACTGATCCCTGTGGAGACGATAAATCCCGGAGGAAATTCTTTCGAAAATAATATTTTTGCTTGCTGCTTTACCGCTTCAACAAAATGGCGCCGTTGCCGGGGATTGGTTGTGATATTGAGTCGCATTGCGATAGTTTCTATATTTATAAGCTTTGCACATAATTGTATATATATGCTTGTAAAGATACTTGTTTTGCTTTTGTCTTCCATTATGTCTGTTTAAGTGTTGTATATATTTTGTTCTAGTAACATTTGTTCAAGTGTTTGGTTAGGACACTTTCTTTAGGTTGGCGCTTTGACAAAGCATCGACGTGTATGTGAGGAAATTACTAGCAAATAACATTAAAGGTGTCGAGCTAACGACATGAAACAAGCGCTTGTTGGGAGGCAACCCAATGGTTTTTGAGTTTGTATAGCTTTATGTTTATTTAGTTTAATTCAATTTTGTTAGGTTGTTAGAATAATGTTTGTGTTTGCTCTCAAGTTTGTTTTTGATTAGCTTGAGGATGAATTTTGTGATTTTCCAAGTTTAATCGTTTCAACTTGCGAATGTATGGTTTTGATATTGTTTGAAGTTAGTACTTTGCAAGGTACTCGTTTATCGCTTTCTAGAACATAGCATGATTATGAAACTTTTCATTTGTACAATTTTCATGTCATTCATTCTTTTGCCATACTTGTTCAGTTTTGAATCACTTTAGAACTAAACCTTTTTGTGAGGAGCTTTCCATTGTTTACTATATGCAGGAGACCAACATTCTTGTTTAACTCGGTTTTATTATGTTTAATCTTGTATTTGTGTTGATTTGTATGATAGCACTAAAATGATCAAGGCATTTTGTTCGATTTTGAGCATACCCACTTGACCAAATAGTCAATCTACCTTGTGAGTGAGTGAGAATTTGCTTACCCCTTTGAGCCTTTGTTAGAATCCATATTAGTGTTAAGTTCATTTTTGTATGAATTCTAATACTTTTTCTTGAACTATAACCATGACTTGTTATTTGAGTTTTTACGCGTGCCTAATAAGTTTGGGAGCATTCATGTCACTATATGTGGTTGTATTCAAGTTGGGGAGAAGAGGTTGGTTGCTAAGAGGTTGAGAAAAAGAAAAAGTTTGAAAAAGAAAGAAAAAAAATGAAAAAGAAAAAGAAAAAAAAGAGGGAAAAAAATTGAAAAAAAAAAGAAAGAAAAAAAATAGAATAATGTTATGCGAATAAGTTGCGTGGAATGGTGTAACAATTTGGAAAAGAGAAAAAGGTGATTGAAATTTGTGAGTGCTTGAGATTGTGAGAAATGATCACTCTCATTTGATTAGGCAAGTTTTTGTTCTTTTACCTTGAGAAAAACAATTTTTTGTTACCCAAGCCACATTACAACCCTTAAAGCCCTTGTGATTTTTGCTTTTATACTGTTCAATATGAGTTTTTTCTTGATGAATGCATAATTTAACTTGTTGTTGACTTGATTGTTGGGTGAGAGTTAAGTCCCTCGTATTTGTTTTTTATTCATCTACCGATGAAGTGTGTGTTAGGTGTGATTCATTTTTGAACTTTGTATTGTCTTAGAATTTTTGACATGTGTTTTGTATTTAGGAGTTGTTTCGTTTTCATGTTATCGTTATAGTTTAGTGGTATGTTTTGCTTTGCATGTACGTTTTTGTGTTGAACCATACATTTGTTTTTGTTTTTCAAAACTTGTTGAATCGTGATTGCTTGGTTATTACTTTTGTTTCCTTGAGTTGATCGATTCTTGTTTGAGGACAAACAAGTTTAAGTTGGGGAGAGTTGATAAGTGTTAAAATGTACTGATTTTGAGTGTAAATAATTGGTACTTATTGCCTTGATTCAACCAATAAACCTCAACTTTTGTGCATATGTTGTATAGTTTAAATTATAGTGTGTATATTGAGTGTCGCGTAAATTTCATTGAGTTTAATTGATTTTTTCTCATTTTTTGTAGGTATATAAGCAATGATATTTTGTCATTATCTTATAGAGCATTGAATAAGCTTTCCAACGCTTCCGATCGCGCGTAAAATAGAGTTACGGTTCAGAAGTTATGGTCGAAACAAGTGTTGGTTTGCTGTCATGTTCGCCAGGCGAACAAAAAGTTCTAAAAAGCGTGAAAAACACTGTTTTGGCAGTAGCAAAATTTGCATATGTTCGTCAGGAAAATACTGGGACCCATTTTTGTCTATTTAAGTGATTTTTCAGCATTTTTTAGGTTATGTTGTTTGAGAACTTTTTACCCCAACTTTATCAAACACATTCTTGAGTAGATTTAGCTTAGAAACAACATTGGAGGGTGCATCTTGACGATCCGGAGTCGAATCCACTTCAATCGGAATTGACAGACCATGAGATTTGTGTTCTTCTTCCTCTCAATGTATTTTTCATTTGTTGGGGGTTTTGTATGTAAGTTTATCTTGATTGTATGTATATTTATGGATCTTTGTATAAAATCTCTTTTACAACTCTTTATCGATGGTTATCTTGATTTTTTACCAAATGGGTTTGGATTGCTATAGACATATAATGTTCGAACTCGATCTAAGATGAACATCTATTAGATTCTAAATGCTAGAGATAGATTTAGGACTAATATTCACGTGGGTATCGATTCTTAATGCTCCGTGTTGTCGAGTTGTGTGAGAGATCAACAATGAGACGATATGGTTGATCTCTCGACTTTGTGTTAGAGATAAACTCTGTTGTGAGTGATACGTGATGATATTGACGAGCGAATTAGGTTGCGTGCATTTGATCCATATATTTTTTAGTACATGATGGGTAGAACGAAATACAACTCCTG